TGGATAAAATCTCGAACAGTGCAGCACTCTCTTAGTATTACAAGAGTGTCAGACTACATATATGCACTCAAGCCTCTAGAGAGTTGAATCCAGCTGAGCAACAGCTAACAGTACTGGAGCTGGGAAATGGTATTATGAACACAGACCTTAGCTAACAGAAGTTGAACACAGGGTAGGAACTGTAGAGAATGATGAAATGGTTACAGTAGAAGCAGTTATTCAGAGCTAGTGCCCTTGTCAGCTCTCTGCATGAGCAACTCAGCTAGACCCATTCACTGAATCTTCCCTTTGGTTGTGCAAATTATTTCTCTTCAGATAATTATCCTTGGAAAGCACAATCAGATCAGTCTTCATCAGACTCCCAGCCAATGCAGTCCTGATCCTAACTGCTTTAGTTTTCTTCCAGTCACCAATAGTTTTTATTCTGCCATTCACCTTAATTCAGTGACTTCTATTTTACAACAATTGTGCCAATAAAGCAGTTTTGATCTGCTGTCTAGACTCACGATTTTTAACACAATCAAATCTCAAAAATAATTGAAAGAATCTTTTTTACGGATGAGCTGATATTACTGGTTTTGAGGAAAAGGGGAGATTGACTAAAGAGAGGGAATCATTGATGATATTTGTTGAATGGGAAAGAGATCAAGATGGAAGTGGGTTTGCAGCCAAATGGAGTTTGGAAAGAGCATTTTATTCTTTCGTGAGATGTGGATGTTTTATGTATTAGTGTATGTTATGTGCAGAATAAGATGTAGCTGGCTAGGCCAGCATTTATTGCCTATCCTTAATTACCCAGAAGGTGGTTAAGAGTCAACTACATTGCTATGTCTGGATTCACACGTAAGCCAGACTAGGTCAGGGTGATAATGTCCTTTAGGGAAGGATATGTAAGTAATCAAATGGGATTTTATGACAATTGACAGTGGTTAGCTTTTTTACTTTTTTTTAAAACTTAAGATTCAAATTTCACCACGATGGTGCAATTCAATCCCAAGTCCCCAGAACACTAGCCTGGATTCTAAATTACCAGTCCAGTGACAGTGACATTACCAATACTCAATTGACTCTTGGATATTCAAGGCAAGACTGGCAGAGGAAGTGAAGAGGGGACCAAGTAGGGTAAGTGCCAAGTAAAAGTGTAAATCAGCTACAACAGTATAGTTATATAATCCCAAAAGTAGTGCTGAATTCTAAAGCAGTCTTGCTTGTATGATAGCACTATATGAGACACTTAAACACTGAACAAGTGAGGAAACCCAGCATTATTTCAAAAATTCTTCAAATTACACTCTAAGTTAAAGGATTCTTGGCAAAGAAACAGGATCAAAAATTGGCAATATAGATAGCTGATTAGAGTCTGAACATCTTTGAACAGGACTCAAAACAAAGCTCAGCCACAGAATGGCTTTCCTGCTAATGTATTCACACACTGTAGGGTCCCTTAAATGACTGTTTAGTAGTTGGCTGTTCTACGTGTGGGTCAAAGTAAAGCCTGTTATAAAACAACATGTAATTATGCAAAGCATTCTTTTCTATGCAAAATGTACCAATAATCCTGTGAAACCAAGTGAAAATTACATGTTGACATGTTCAAATAAAGTCCTTGTATACTCCTTAGAGACTTTATTTTAAAAACAGGGAGTGATAATTTCTGAATATGTTTTTAAGTGACTTAAAGGAAATATTTGAGTCTGGTAATGGGGACCCCCTTACTCAGACTGATTGAAAACCTGAGCCAAGGTTTTGGTTTTGATCCTTCAGGCTAATTGTAACAATGTTAAGCCCACACAATCTGAAGCTTTGTTACAAAAACTCTGCTCACTAATCTACATTAATATAAAGCCTGATATAGTTCAAAGAATAATTTGCATTTCTGTAGTAAAGAAAACATGTCAACACTTTAAATGACAAATACATGCCTACCTAGTAGAAAATGATAATCACACTTGGGGACTAAAAGAACGATAGAAGGGATTTTCAGAAGCTTGGTGAGGTGGGGTGGGAAGTGAATGAGGAGGGGATGTGATAAGAGTTTTGTGGGAGAATACACAGGATGGGGCTATTGACGTTGAAGAAATCAAAAGATTTTTCTCTTCACTAACTGGCAAACCAGAACTCGATTGTTATGGAAACCTTAATTTTTTTAAAGTCTACTGAAAATCAGTGGAATGAAAAGTAGGCAGGTTTTATAAAGAGTAGACACAAACTGAGTCACCAAGGATTAAAAAAAAATCTACCCTACATCGAGTTGCAAACATCACAACTAAGATTCAAAGATAAGCAAAATTTCACAGATGAGGTTATCGTTTTGGCTATAGATTTGCATAGTTGATTGAGAGGGTCAAGCAACTTAAAATTAAAAATCCTATTTTCTCCACACTCTGCTCCTTTCTTATTTCTCTCAAAATTGAGAGGTGTTCTCACGTCTCATGTTAACCCGTAGATGAAAACTCTTCAAAGTAGCTTCATTGAAATGGCCATAAACAATATCCAAAAACATGCTTGATCATTTATCACTTATCCAAATGGTAAAGCCAATGCACTGCTACAACTTCTATTAATTTTGTATATTTCACACAGATCAAGGATAGGAACGTTTTGATCCATATGTCTCAGATCTTTACCTGACAAAATCAGAGCCAAAAGGCTGGATGAAAATAAATGCTCCAAAAGATGGGATGAAAATAAATGTTCCAAAAGATGGGATTATTCACCCTCAGATACAGCACACAAAAAAGGCCCTTCAACCCACTGAGTCTGCACTGTTCAAAAACAACCAACTATCTATTCTAATCCCATTTTTCAGCACTTGGCTCATGGCCTTGTATGTCTTGACATATGGGCAGCGTGCTGGCTCAGTGGTTAGCACTCTGCGTCCTCTGATCTCCTCTTGGTCCAAAGACGTGCAGGATAGGTGGATTGCTCATATAGTGTCCAGGAATGTGCAGGCTAGGTGGGAATGAAGGATTATAGGGAGAGGGTAGAGGGCGAGACTGGGTGGGATGCTCTTTGGAGGGTTGGTGTGGACTCTGAGTCAAATGGCCTGCTTCCACACTGTAGGAATTCTATGATTAATATTGCAAGTGCACATTTAAATAATTCCTAAATATTATGAGGGTTTCTGCCTCTTTCACCCCTGCAGGCAACGAGTTTCAGCCTCCCAACACTTCTGGGTGAAAAAACGTTTCCTCACATCCCTTCTAAGCCTCCTGCCTCTTCCCTTAAATCTACAGGCCTTGGTCATCGATCCCTCCAACAAGGAGGACAGTTGCATTATATCTACCCTATATATGCCCATGATGATTTTAATATTTCAATCATGTCCTCAGTCTCCTGTGCTCCAAGGAAAACAACATCAGTCTATCAAATTCCTCATAACTAAAAAACTCTTCAGCCCCAGCAACATCCTGGTAAATATCCTCTGCACCCCCTCCAATGCAATCACAGCCCTTCTGTAAACTGCATTCCAGAACTTCACACAATAATCGGAAGCCTAACCAATATTTTATACATTCCAGTATAACCTCCCCGCTCTTAAACTCTATGCCTTGGCTAATAAAAGGTAAGTATTGCAATGCCTTCTGAACCACTATTTTCCTGTTCCATTATTTTAAGGGACAGGGAAACTTGCACACCAAGGTCTCTCTGATCATTGGTGCCTCCCAGGGTCTTACTGCTCATTCTGCTTTCCCCTGCTTTGTTCATCCTGCCCAAGTGCATCATCTCATGCTCGTCTGGATTGAATTTCATTTTCTCCTGATGTTGCTACATTTTATTTCAATTATAATTTCATGGTGACCTCTGCTAACTCATCCAACTGTCAATGCTTTTTTTCCTTTTGGACAGGAAATGACATCATGCTAATATCAGAAAGCAACAAAGCCAAAATATCACCAGTACAATTTACTGGAAAGCAAACTCAAACTAGGCATTTGGATAATATTTCGGTTATTTGAACCAAGGAGTCCCAGGATAAACTGATTCTCCACTAAGTCAGTGGACTAATAATACATTAATGACTGAACTTCAGAGTTTTCTGCCATGTGCAAAATTATTGAAGGGAAGACAGGTTGAAAAAACATTTAATTATATGGGATTGGAGGTTTTATAAGGACATGGAAATTACAATAAACCTGGAGCAAATACTGGTTTGGGCTCAACTTGAGTATTCTCCCGAGTTCTGGGAGCAAATAGTAAGAAGGTTGTGAAAGCAGTGCAGAAAAGATGCCAGAAGATTCACAAGAATGGTTTCCAGAGCTGAGGAACTTCAGTTAGATTGACAGATTGGAGCAACTCGGCTGTTCCTCTTGAAAGATAGAAAATGAATTTTGTAGAGACATTCAAAACCATGAGGGGGCCTGGATAAACAGGAAGAAACTGTTCAATTTGACAGAAGGACCAAGCAGAGAAGAGTGATTTTACTGATTGGTAAAGGAAACAATGACAATGAGGATTTGTTTTGTGCAGGTAGTTAGTATCTGAATGCATTAAACAGTGTGGTGCAGATTCAGTTGACGTCTTCGAAAGATAATTAAATTATCTGAAGAGAAAAGTACAGGATTATTGGGAAAAGAATGCCACTTTGCAGACAGCCACCATGGACACAATGGACTTCATGTCCTCCTCTGCACTGTAATTCTACAATTCTATATTCAACCCATCCTCTTAGGTGGAATCACTCTTTCTATACCTGCTGCCAGAATATTCTGTCCATTTTCTCCAAATTCAGTCCTCCTATACAGTTTACCTCAGCTCAAAAACAGAACTTACCCCAGCAATTGTTGCTAACTGCAACAATTCTCAAGGGAACATTACTAAGTGCTGCTTATGAAGAGGTGTACCTTACTGGAGAAAGCCCTTGGATTCTGCAGGAAGTGGACGATCTGGGAAAGCTTATGAGGCAGGTCCATTTTCACTTAACTAATGCATTCTTACACTGCCATAAACATAAAAAAAACATTCAATTGCTGCTCAATAAAATGGAGAAACAAATGTTATAAAATGCAATGAGTTTATTACTAAAATGCAGAGTAACTGGAACCACAATACTGAACACATTCACAGCATTGAACAATTTCAGCATTTTCTTTTTCACAAAGTGAAATTAGTGAAATAAAGACAAAAACATACAAAATTATTTGCTGTCTAACAATTTGTTGTGTTGGCAAGTAGTTTGATATAAAATTAATTGCAAATAGTAGTACTGATCTTTAGCTTCTAAAGGCAAATAGAAACTGGTCTGTAAAGCAGAACTTAATTTTTTTCACATGGATTAAATCAAAGGAAGAAAATAGGTCCAAGGTAGAAAGACAATATTGACAGGTTAAATGAATATACAACAACTCAGGCTTCCTACTCCATACCATACTGATAAAGACCAGTGCCTAACAAAATGCTTTCTTTCTTACTACTAGCTTGTGAGATTTCATCTAAAACATGAAATAGTAAATATGTATGTAAATTCTGAGGCATAAAATAAACATCACCTCTGTGCAGCATGTTGTGTCATGGCTATAAGTTCTGATTAGCAAGCAGTCCTCATGTATAAATATAAACAGACTCAAGTTCTAGAGTTACTTATCTTGTGTACAGGTTTTACTTTTTGAACTATTTTGGACAATCAAAGAGGAATATCCATATTGGAAAAGACAGTATTCTATTTATTGGAACAGGTGTTCCAAACAAGTATGTCCAAGGTTGGGCATGGCAAATATAGTGCCCTAATATATCTTAACCACTAAATATGCCAGTATGAGTTTTAAAATTTCAGTCATCTTTACAATCTTGGAATATGTTAGGCAACAATGTTGAACTTCAGATTCACATCCATCTTGAATTAAACTGAAATTTCACAATTCTTAAATCTGCAGAGAGACATCACACCACCCTGAACTAGACTGAAACCTAGATTCTAGAGGTGAAAACACAAATGTCTAATATGTACTGCATTCAAGCTAGGATTTATTGTCCACTTTCCAACAATCTTGTTGTTGGTTTTTGACCATGGATGATAGATCTTCAAATTTCTTAAAAGGTGCAGCTTTTAAATTCTATGGCACAATTATTATTAGCATGGCAATTAAGATTTTCTTCATCATGGGCATAAATAAGGCTTTTGATAGTTATAGTTTGTACGCAAACTTCTGAAACTTCATACTTTTCCTTCAATGTGAGGCATTTAAAGCTGGACTTGTACATCAAATTTTTCACCCATGTAAAATATAACTCAGCAAACACCTTTTCTCTCTCTACTTAAACAAAATGAGATAACATATCTGTTTAAGGCATGAAAACAGAGGTTCAGCCACGTTCTTAGCATAGCTGATAGCCAGTCCTCTTCATTCAGGTGTCAATTTACAGATCATTAATTAGAGTCAACTTATCTAGTAAGAACAAGTCTGAAATCATGAGAAAATATATGGTTAAAGATAACAACTTTAATTTTATTTACAATTTTCTAATTTAAGCAATATTGAACCATTCAAATTCAAAAATGACTTGCAGCATAATTCAAATGAAAAGGAAGAGTGGACTTGTATAATAAATAAAATTGCCATAAGATATTTAAGTCTATACTTTACAACTTAATAAATGACATCTCCCAAAGAATTTGGCTAGTATTTAAAAAAAATCAAGTGATTTTTTTTTTTAAGAAAACCTCTAAGATTAAAATAGTTGCAAGTGTATTCTTTAACTCAAGTGATAAACTTGATCCTCAGTCATGAGTTTGAATTTTCTGTTGGGTTTGTTTCTCAAATTATGTTGCTTAGAAATGCTAAGAATATGCAAGTTAGTGGAATGAGGTGGAAGGACGATCCTTGTCAGGAAAGTAGTAACAGTGATGGTGACAGGATATCACAAAGTGCCAGAAATAACATGGAAAATACTCCAGCTTCAACTGTAATTTGCATAAATATCAAAGTGCTTCCTATGCTGCAAAGAAACGAGAAATCGATCTACAGCTTTGCAGCCAACTCAGTGGGATGATGACGGGGGATTTCAGTTATTCACTTTCTAAGGTTGACAAAACAAGAAGGAAGCCCAAAAAGGGATGGGAAAGCCCCCATGAAATATTTGCTGCTGCAATAAATGATTGCTTCTTAATTCAGTGTTGAGAACAACCACTGGTGGGTAGTCTTAGAAATCAGTTATTATAGCTATCTAAGAAATGGGAACATTTTTCTCAATTTAAAATAGGAGGCTGTAAAATGTTTTATGAAAGCAGCATGCATTTCTACATTTTCCATTGATTCAGCTCATAGAAATAGAGAGGAAACTTGATGCTTTTCTTTTAACATGAAGGAAACAATATCTTCATTAAGCTCTGAAAGGATGCGAAGTTTTTCATATCCCTTGAGGAACTTATGATGACAAAGCCACAATGGCTTTGTGGAGATCTGACTAACTTGCATCCAAGGCAGTATTTTAAAACTTAAGTCGGATAAGGAAAGGTGATGTTAATAGAATGGATCTAGAAGGAATACCGAATACAGTAAAAATAATTGGAAGGCACTTTTCGCTTGTTATGAATCGGAGGTCCATTTGGAGGAAAAAAAGCAGAAAAGTTGGTGGGTGACTTAGGCAGAATTATAAATGTCAAAAGCACTGACAATTTGAATTTATATATTTTGTATATGGTTTCCATCAAATGGTTAACCGGCTCCTTCTATTCAAAGTAAAATTAAAATTTAAATCAGTAACTTTACCATTAAAACAATGCAGACTAACTAAAGACTCAAAATGACTGAAGATGTTGGTGACACCATAATGAATATTTTCAGTATGTCACTAAGCTTTAGTTTAGGTTTATTGCACAACTGCATTACATGAGGGCGCTTCTGATTCAACTTTGGAATGAAAGACAGATAGGTGCTGAAGTTTACCATTAAAGGTGCCATTAGAAATGTAGGTAAATAGAGGAAATACTCTACTGAAAATAAGTGATCCTAGTAACTACATACGAGAGGAGCTAAACTAATATTCGCATAGTTAAAAATCAGAAAATACAAGGAGATTTTGGCCTCAAAAATGATAATAAACTATATCACTTGCAAATCACCAGAAATAAATCATGGTCTACATCAACACCGTTCAGTAAAGAATTGTATCAAACAGATTGCTTACTGTTTCACAAAAAAGGTGATTTTTATGGATGCAAAAGAGTTCTAATGGTCAAATCAAACTGTAGTTTCATTTGTATAATACTGCAGGTCACAGGGTTACATGTCCAAAGTGGCATTTTTGGTACCAGGGTGGACATGCTGTTAAAATCCACTAGTCTTTCAGATGATGTCGGATCTTCAGACTTGGGATAAAGTGGGCTCATAAGTCTGTAAATGGCAATTAAAAATTGATTTAATAGCGTAAATGCAAGGAGCTAGATCCTGGAATTCAAAAAAAAGAGTGCTTGAAAGTACTTTGTTATAATCATTCCAACTACTCTACATTGTTCTCAGGCAATACAATATCAGTCATCCTGTAAAACTGAAATTTTCCATTTGGCAAGATTTAAAAAGTATTTTATCTTTATTGTGTTGATCCAAGGCAAAACCACTTAATACTGCAGATTAAAAATTCTTTGAACATTAGAAAATAAAATGCTGCCAATTTCCAAAATTTAGATACAAGGATATGAAAAGAATATGGACAGCAGTTTGATGCAACCACTGAAAAACAAAGATCCAAATTTATCCAATAGAAATATAAAAGCAAGGGCCAATGGTTTTGAAAATAGCCTTTCTTCCCACAAAACTAATCCAGTTGAGCAAAGTATAATTCTTACTGACCTCAAACTGCTTCCAATGGGTTTAATAATGGAGTATCTTTTGCAACATTCAACTATTACCATCTACCACCTATGGTGTATCAGAGGACATTTATTTTTCTTTTATTTATCTGTACATCCCTTTTCTTTCACTGACACAAATAGATCTAACCTGGATTCACATGCACAGACAATCTTCAAACCTTTTGTGTTTGCAATTGCATCACTAACACAGAGACTGCCATCATAGGTTCGGTGCACTGTGCTTGAAATGGACAAGTCCATTCCATGAAGTTTTGAAGATGTTGGTTATAGAAGGTTACGCTAATAAATTTAAATAAAATCCCCAGAAGGAAATGAAAGTAATGTATATTAAAATCATTAATGTGACAAGAGAGGTGAATTAACTTGGTGAGGTTACAAAGATAAGATGGGTACAGGGTGGGAGTCAGAACTGGTGTGATGGTTTCTATTTCCAATAGTGATTGGATATTTAGCAACATTTAGGGGCTTAAACCCAATAATTGAGTCAGGAGCAATAGAGTGTATGGCTCTGATATCTCTTTCGTATGTGTGAATTGGGCATTGGGTTGTTATACATTCCACGGTCTGTGGCAGGCGACCGGTGTTGTACACTGGAGAGTTTATATTTTTCCAGGTGTAGATCAAACAACAGCTCTGGTTTGTGCAGATATAGTTTAAAGCTAACAAACTTCACAGATCTTCTACATCAAGACTTTCACGAGGCATTTTTGTGCATCCAGCTCTCCGAACTTCAGCAGGATTGAAGTCGCATTATTAAAACTTAAGTGCGTGGATACATGCGTAATTTCAAAGTTGTAGAGGGACAGTGTTAAAGTTCTAATGAATGGGGAAACAGCGACTTTCCCTACTTCGCCGGACTTTCTCAACAGATAGATATAGGTGAATCAATGGGGAAATAATAAACAACAGCACAGGCAGGCAGGACGTTGGGGTCAACTCAAGACTTTGTGGTAAACTGCATTGTAGCATTTGGTTCAACGACTAGTCCAATGTGGCAATTTCAGGTCCATTGGAAAAAAGCATTAAAAGGTTAACAATCAGGACAATGGTCTAAGTTTAGCATTTATAACATATATGTAAGTTTAAAAATTTCACACTTTTGCAATAACACAGGAAACTATGTAAATATAAAGGCATAATACAAGTGTTATTCAGTACATTCGAACTTCATTTTTTTTCCTGGCACAAAAAACATTTTTAACATCTTTTTGGTCTGAATTCGTATGTTGTTCCCAACTCTAATCTAATTTGATGGGTTTTTTGGAAGGAGGGTGGGACACAGGAAGAGAAAACAGGGAGGTGAAGAGAAAAATAAAAAACCCAACATGGGAAGAAACATGAATTTGGATTGTATGTGAATACCAGAGGGTATTAAAATCGCATCACCTATTCTAATATTGGTCAGTTTAAAAAGAAAAGCACAAAGGTGATCTATAACTATAATATAATGCAAGGCTTCTTATCCTTAAAGGGGTTTTCTGAAGTTGGAATGCCCATGAGCAGAGGGTCACTTTTGGCATGTTCCTCACAGTAGCGGACAAGATCTGCTGAAGCCTTTGAAACCTGCCAAAGGAGAGAAAAAAAAGGATGAATAGTTTAAATTTGAGGATTTGCATAAGGATATAGGATGTAACTGTTACCAGACAGTACAAGAGTATTACTAAAGTATCTTTCAAAAGTGACATTTAATGCACGTAACAGTTATTGTACAGAAAATGCAAGAGTTACACAATAAGTCTGCCTGTGTCTAGAAGGTTATCAGTTTAGATGACGTTCTTGGTCATGTGGCGTGATTCTGTCAAAAATGTCAAAGTACCAGACCCTTGACTGCATACTATTTTAGGAACAGATTGTTTATGTTCACGTCTTCTTTCAAATTCTTATTTTTATTCTTAAAACGTACCTACTATTTACTAAAAGATGTCGAGTAGTCTTGGGATTTCAAGGGCTTTGCCCTTCAAAGCACTAAGTTCTTGCTTAACGTTACTCCATTTAGTGAGGTTTTGCTTTAAGTTGTGCTAAGTTACCGGAAGCCAAAATCTATTTGAGCTTCATGGAATTAATTTTAAACGTTGTTTACTGCATAACCTGACTGTGGTATGAACACTCACTCTTCTTCACTCCGCCTGTCCCTGTGCACACAGTTGTTGGAGGTCTGTAGCAGCAAACTCCCACCCGCCATGCTCCTGACTGCCTAATGGAGCTGTTGCCTCCTCCGGCCATGCCAGAGCATGTCAGCGTCCCTTGAGAGGTTGCAGCACCTCCACCTACACTGGCTGTTGCTGCCCCAAGAACTCACCCAGACATGATGCAGCCATCCCTCCTGGCTGGCGGGGGACCCCAGCTCTGGCACCAGCCACATCTGGGCTCACCAGCCCTCATCCTCTGAGGTGGCAGCTGGAACTATAGTACCGCAACAGCCCACTGCTGGCAGTACAATGGAGGGCTGCCAATCTCCATCCAGGCCAGAGCAGCCACTAGCATAAGTTGGTGGTCTTTACTTCTAGATTCTTCCACCAATGGCATCAGATTTTTTTCCTCTACCTATTCTGTCCAAATGTCTTATGATGAATGCTGCTATCAAATCTCCTCTTCAACTCATCTCAGCCCCAAGGCACAACTAAAAAGTGTTCCTCAAAACAGTGTCTCCAACTCAACTATGTTCAACTGTTTCCTCAATAATCTTGTCTCCATCATAATCTCCCATCTAGAGAATATCTTCAATTTAAAATTCTCATCATTATTTTCAACTCCTTCCAGCCCTGGTCCCTTCACTGTCTCTAATTCTTTCCAGCTCTCCAATCCCTACAACATTTCTACACTGTTCTAATTCTTGACAGTCTCCTATTCTTATTCACTCCCCTGTTGAACAATATTGAGCATCGGACTGATTAAGCGACAAGTAACGAACAGAAATTGCTAAGAAAAGCTCAGTAGGTCTGCCAGTATCTGTGGAGAGAAATGAGAGTTCACATTTCAGGTTCGGTAACCATTCCCCAATTTTGAGTTCAGCAATTTCTGTTTTTGTTTCTGATTTCCAGCATCCACAGTTCTTTCAGTTTCTATTAAGCTACAAGTAACACCTTTGCACCTAGAAGGACCAGATAATAACCATCAAGAAAGAATTTAACCACCTTCCCTTGGATATTCAATAGCGTATTATGATTGAATCCCCTAACATCAACATTACGAATAACATCACTGACAGCAAATCTAACTGGACAAGGCACAAAAATAGTGGGGCTACAAGAACAGATCAAAGGTTGGGAATTCACATGGATCAAGTCAGAAAACTCTGTAGACTAACAGGAGAATCCCCATCCCAGAACAAGGTTTCCAGGTGACTTTCCCCCTCTCTGATGTATTGCAATGTCTGAAGCACAAACTCCAGCTTATTAACTCTCATCTTCAGCTCCTTGAGCTATTGACATACGTCCTTTCGATCATATTGGTGTCTATGAGCTTTAACATCCGGCAGATACACATCACCTGTCCTGCCATATTATTTTAAACAAAAAATTTTATGAAATGCCTCCAGAGTCTTGCTTGCGTTTATATTCTTACTATTTCTATCAATGTTTTATTTACCATGATTGAAATTACCCTGTTTAATTAATGAGGAAATATTCCTTGTAGTATCACACTGATTTTTTTTCTTGCCGAATACAGGGTCTAGCTGGTTCTTTGCTAGCTCTTTAATATCTCTATTCTGGTCTTGGCCTTTCTGGTTGCTCACAGACTCTAGACTACACATCCATCCCTATCTTTCCTACATTAAGCAAAGAATACATTGGTTATTCCACACCACTACCATGTAAAATTCAGCTTGGTCAAGCCATTAACTGCCCAATCAAAATAATTAATCTGTGGGATCAGGGAAAACCTAGCAATTTTGGACCTTCTCTTGTTGCCTCGAGGGAGTAACCGGAGAACCTTTTCTTCAATCACTGTGATGCATGTGGTGAATGTGCTCCCACAATGCTATAGTGTGTTTCGGGGTTTTAGTTCAGTGACGATTTAGAGACTGGCCACATTTGAGCAAGTCTGGAAGTTGTGATTTGGTGGGGAATTGAGATGATGGTGCTCCGTGCACCCACTAATCTTGTCTTGAGTAGTGCAGTTTGTAGGGTCTGGAGGTTCTGCCAAAGGATCCTTAGGCATCCTGTGGATAGTAAAGAGTTCATGCATAGGTAAATGGAGGTGGTACCAATTAAGCAGATTGCTTTGTCCTCGACAATGATGAGCATCTCAAGTGCTGCAGCTGGACTTTGGCAGGTAAATGACAGAAGAGGTGTCGAGTGAGTGGCTCAGTTTTGAAGTCAAATCAAATCTAAACCTGCAAACACTGAGGCAGCTACCAATGTACAGGTGGAAAGTGACCCATGTCGGAGAATGACGTTTGCAATAAATTCACATGAATCTGGTTAAGTAAACCAGGAAAATGGTGTGCAGACTCTTCGGTGCTCAGACTCTCTGGTGCTCAGACTCTCAGCTAAATTGTATTGAGATGACAGAAACCCCAGTACGTCCCATTTTCAGACAATATTTACAGCATTAAAGCAGAATCTCATGTTACTTATATAATTGGAGAAGCGGGGAGAGAGAGTAGAGCTACGGGTCAGGGTGATGCTGTGTTTTAATTAGCAGATATGGAAACTAGCTAAAAAGCAGTGGAACTCAATTTTAAATGATCTTTCAGTGGGATATTATGCACACTGGGATTTCCTTGCTAAAACTAGAACTAGGCCACACATATATCATATTCACCAGCAAAAAAGGAAATTCCAGTCTTGTAATTTTAATTATTGCATACACAACACTGTAACCTTGTTAAATTTTATATTCAGAATCAGTGCAATGAATGTTTCAAAGTTGCCAATTATTGCCACAACAGAATACTAGTATAGTTTCCCTGACACAGTAATAACTTTAACAGTAATATAAATGCCCCCACTTAAGTGGCGACCTGAAGCTGCAAATGGGAAAAAACAAATGCACTTGCGAAACAATGCCTCCTGCATGGCTATAGATTAAAACCAAACAGACCATAAAACACTCGAACAAACTAGATTTGAGTCAGTTATGTGCAGAGTTAGCTAATCCTGTCCAATGCAACAGCTAATTTCAATGTTTTTTTTGGTGGGTGGGGCGCAAATTAACTAGAATAAAACAACGTGCTGTTACTTGTACTCTAATCTCACTCACGAGGAATAGTCGCTTGGAGATGGATACCAGTGGAACCATGTTATGTACCAAGATCTTAGAGAGGAGCAAAAAACATAAAACTTGGCAAAAGTAAAAAGGAGCTTGAAAAAAACTGCCACGTTCATTGGTTCTATCAGTTTAGTACACTTAAAGTACTAAATAAATGAACAATTACCTCTGTTGCTTGGCAAAAAACTTAAATGTGCAAGTTTGGGGTTAATATGTAAACAAGGTTCAGAGTTGCGCTCAAACACCTGACTGACTCACCATTGCAATGCAACTTCTCAGTACCATCAGGTTAACTTGTTTGAAGCAAGAAAGAAAACTGTGCACTTAATTTCATATATAACACTATAACAAAACCCCATCCTATTATGAAATTCAAATTCCTTACCTTTATCCTGTCAATACTAGCTTCTACTTTAAGCTGTCGAACTGCCCTTTTCGCTTGCGCTATGCTATTTGTACTAGCCATTTTCGACGATATTTTGAAAGTTAAAGCCTGAAGCAAAAAAAAGCATACGTACAAAGTGAGATAGTGAAAGAGCAACAAAATTTATGTTAAAATAAATATATATTTTATGTAACATTATGCTTATAAAACACACCTAAACTTGGTTCTGAGAAGCCAATGATGTTTTTCAGAGATATGAAGTGCAAATTCTGCAAAAGATAAATAATTTCAACATCAAGAAATGTGGAGGATCAAAACCCACTAACTTTGTCCTTTACAGTAAACAATTGTTCAGACTGTTAGCTTGCACCAACTTCTAATTGCTTCTTTCCATTTCCACAAAGATATTTGATCAGATTTCCAATAAAAAGGAGAATAATATTTTCAGCTGTACTCCAGTAAGAGTGTGTCACTGTAATCAATAATAATTTGATACCTCGACTTATTTATACAATACTAAATGCGACAAAATAGGATCACTGGCTTCTCCTGGTGATGAATGGGAAATTAGAGAATCAAATTCATTTTTGATTTAAGAAGCCCAAGGTCAAAAGTGAACTCTTATCTGTGGCATATTATTAAGAGTGAAAAGGGAGATTTGCCTTTTAGCAAAAACCTTATGTAACATCATGACATTCCGAAGGCCTTTACAGCCAATTATACACTTCTCACACAAAAAACAGAAAATGCAGAAAACAATGAACAAGTCAAACATCTGTGGAGAAAGCAGAATTAATGTTTCAGGTTAACGAACTTGCATGAATTATATTTCAACAAGTTGTTGAAAATGATTCAAAAAGTAGTAAGAGCAAGCACTTTTTTTTTTTTTTTTAAAAATTAATCGGACTTTTCCTCGTCAGATAACACAATCATTCCAGGTACCAATCTAGTAAACCACCTCTGAATTGTCTTCAAGACATTTACATCTTTCCTTACATAGGACACTAAAACTGCAAAGATTTGAGATGTGGTCTCACCAATTGCCCTGTATAACCGAAGCTTAACATCCTTACTTATATGTTCAATTCCTCTTGTAATTAGCCTCAATCGCTGTACCCGCATGTCAACATTTTGGTGATTGAACATCAACAAGGTTCCATGCAGTATATTGGTTAGTCAGGTTAGATCACAAGGGATGCAGGGGGAGCTAGCCAACTGGATACAAAATTGGCTTGAACGTAGGAGACAAAGGGTGGTGGTGGAGGGTTGTTTTTCAGATTGGAGGCCTGTGACCAGCGATGTGGCACAAGGATCAGTGCTGGGTCCACTGCTTTTTGTCATGTATATAAATCATTTGGATAGAATATAGGAAGTATGGTTAGTAAGTTTGCAGATGACACCAAAGTAGGTGGTGTAGTGGTCAATGAAGGAAGTTCTCAGTACAATGGGATCTTGATTAGATGCGCCAATTAACCAAGGAGTAGCAAATGGAATTTAATTTAGATAAATGTGAAGTGCTGCATTTTGGTAAGGCAAACCAGGACAGGACTTCTACAGTTAATGATTGGGCCCTGGGGAGTGTTGCCAAACAAAGTGACCTAGGGGTGCAGGTGCATAGCTCCTTGAAAGTGAAGTTGCAGGTAGACAGGATAGTGAAGGTGGCGTTTGGCACGCTTGCCTTCATTGATCATAACATTGAGTATGAGAGTTGGGATGCCAAGTTGCAGCTGTACAGGACATTGGCAAAGCCATTTTTGGAACATGGTGTACAATTCTGGTTGCCCTTCTATAGTGGTGGTGATGGTATTGAACTCGAGGTGGTGCAGAAAAGATTTACCAGGATGTTGCTGGCACTGGAGGGTTTGAATCATAGGGAGAGGCTGAACAGGCTGGGGCTATTTTCCTTCTAACGTGGGAGGCTGAGGGGTCACCTTGTAGAGGTTAAAAAAATCATGAGGGGCATGGATAAGGAGAATACCCAAGGTTTTTTTTTCCTAGGGTGGGGTGAGTCCAAAGGTAGAGGGCACAGATTTAAGGTGAGAGGGGAAAGATTTAAAAAGGACCCGAGAGACAACTTTTTCATGCAGAGGGTGGCATGTGTATGGAATGAGCTGCCAGAGGAAGTGGTGGAGGCGAGTATAATTACACATTTAAAAGGCATTTGGGATGGTTATACGAATAGGCAGGGTTTGGAGGGATAAGGACCATCTGCTGGCAAATGGGACTAGGTCAGATTGGGATGTCTGGTCAGCACAGATGAGTTGGGCTGAAGGGTCTGTTTCGGAATCCTGCAGTTATCCTCAGTTTAGGTAATACTCTTCTTATTTGGTCTTCCTGAGAAAAGTGAACAAATTCATATTTTCGTACATTACGCTTCATCTGTCAGTTCTTCTCTAATTCAAAATATTCACATCTGTCTACATCTTAATCACAAGTACCTGCCTATCTTTGTGTCACCTGCAAATTTAGGAACTACATCTTCCCTCCCCTCTTTCAAGTCACTAACCCAACAATAAAGAACTCAGGCCCCAGCACAGACCCCTTTTGGACTCCACTTAATAGTAGGTCATGGCCTAGTGGTATTATTGCTGGACTTTCAATCAAGAAGCTCAAGTTCTATTTTGGGAATCCAGGTTCGAATCCTGCCATGGCAGATGGTGGAATTTTAGTTCAATAAAAGCAAAAATCTGGAATTAAGACTCTAATGATGACAATGATTCCATTGTTGATTGTCAGACAATTCATCTAGTTCACTTATGTCCTTTAGGAAAGGAAACTGCCAGGCTTACCTAGTCTGCCTACATGACTCCAGACCCATAGCAATGTGACTGACTCTTAACTGCCCTCTGGGAAATCAGGCATGGGCAATAAATGCTGGCCGACCAAGCAACATCTTCATCCCGTGAATGAACTTAAAAAAAACACAACGCTGAGATGTTTCCATTAGTGGGAGAATCTCGAACTAAGAAATATATTTACAGAATAAGGGGACATTCATGACATGCAGAGAAATTTCGTCTCTCAGAGGGTAATGAATGTCTGCAATTCTCCACTCAAAGTGTTGTGGAGGCTAGATCATTGAAAATATTTAAACAGATAGTGGGTACATTTTTGAAGTATCAAGTCAAGGGTTATGAGGAACTGGCACAATGTGATTGACGCCTGGGGCAAAATCAGCCATGACCTTGTAGAATAGAAGGCTCGGCTTGAGGGGCTGAATGGACTACACCTGCTTCTATTTCTAAATGTTTTATTCATCACATCCTGCCAGTCTGAAAAAGACCCATTTATGCATACTCCATTTTCTGTCAGTCAACCAATCTTCCTTCCACACTGTTGTGCTAGCTCCTCCACCATGAGCTCCTATTTTGTGCATTAGCCTTTTGTGGGGCATCTGGTCAAATACCTTCTGGAAAACCAAGTACAGTAATTTACAGACTCATTTATCCACAGCACGTTACTACTTCAAAACATTCCAATAAATGGTTAAACATGAATTCATATTCACAAATCTATGCTGAATCTGATTATCTTTATTATTTACCTTTACATTTACCTTTATTTAAAATTTATTTTTGTTTAAAATGCCCAGCTATAACTTCCTCAATTGAATTGGTGAACACCTTGCCAATGACAATATTGAGCTAACTAGCCTATATGTTTTCTGCCTCTCTTCTTGACTAGAGCGGTTGTACTTGCAAATATCTAGTCTGCTGGAATCTTTCGGGAAATTAACACCAACATATCTACCTCATAAGCCTGTATCAGAGATAGTAGGAACTGCAGATGCTGGAGAATCTGAGATAACACGGTGTAGAGCTGGATGAACACAGCAGGCCAAGCAGCATCATAGGAGC